TGAGAACTTATATACGCAAGCTGGATTTAGAACTCTATGTCATAACAGGAAATGATGTCACCCAGGCCCCAGGCTCAAAGTCTTGTATCCTGTAAGCAGTCAGGTTATCAACATTTAGCCATACAGGAAAATGTTTTTTCACTACATATTCAGCGTCTTTAGCTTTATCTGCATAACTGGCCCACCTACCACTTTCTCGCCGCCCCTGCCTCAGCCCGCCTACATTTTGAGAGATGTGGAAGCATTAGTATGTAAATGATGTGAACACACATTGTCGTGTCTCTACATTTAACTTTCAGCTCCCCCAGGTGTAAACTGTATGTTGCCCTCTCCCACTCAGTGACCTTCTCTGCCGCTTACTCACTTTTTTCCTCCCGCTCCCATCTGTTTGACGCCCTGATCTCTGCCACAACTCACCACCTTTCTAGTCACCACTTGAAAAGAGCTGTTCAAAGTCAGTTTTGAACCAACTACACCATGTAATGCTTTTGACAGGGCGCCCATTGAGGAGTGCCTCAGTTGGTGACTCACAAGCAAAATACCAGTTAATATGAACTGACCATCTTTTGGCTTTACTTATGTCTTTCCTGCTGACTGCAAACACCAAGTCTGGATAACTTGAGGCACTGTCAGTAAAATGGTTTTCCTTGGATGGGGGAAAGACCCGTTTTGTTGTCACATTTTTTTCTTTTGCAGTTCTCATTGAACCTGTTGTTGAAGGAGTGGCGGTCATTGGTTTCCTTTTCTTCCTGACCCCAACACAATACTGTCTGCAGTCTGGAGACTCAACACAGGAAGTAAACAGCTGGGACCTAAAGATGAAGTACAACAGACCGTTTACATCAGTTTACCTCATAGACAGTAAAAAAACCCAGCTCACAATCCCCCACCTCCAGCTTGAATGAAAAAATCCCTATTTTATTAATTATATGCCGAGAATATTTCTCACAACTCTTGCTAGTCATGTTGCGGGCCACCTACTGGTCCCATGTTCTTGACACCCACTGCTACTGTTATTATTAGTAGTAGTAGTATTGCTATCATTAGTACTTTTATAAATATTTGTATTATTATTTGTATTGTATTATGTTCTCTTTCCTCCTGCCTCACCCCAACTGATTGAGGCAGTTGGCCGCCCACCTTGAGTCTAGGTTCTGCTCGAGGTCTGTCGCCAAGTGCTTGCTCGTGGTGGGACTTGTTGGGTCTCTGTAAATAATAGTAAATAAAGAGTAGACTGGACTTGCTCTATGTGAAAAGTGCAATGAGATAACTTCTGTAATGAATTGGAGCTATATAAATAAAATTGAAATATAAATAAAATAAGAGGTCATTTTATGATAATGGTGACGTTTAGCATTAACACAGACCTAATTATTGGTTCTGCCTGGTATCCATTTGCTAACAACATATTTACATACATACATGTGTTTAGCATTTATTAAGCAGTGTATAAAAATGTAATAAGTGGTTTATAATACTATAATGTAGTTGTGAGCAGGTATTTTTTATGTGTGCATTAATGTACCGCATTTGTCAACAAATATAAATTCTCTTAACAATACATTCAACATTACTTCCACCCCTGGAGAGGGCAAAAACAGCACAAGTTAAAGATCTCAGCTTTATGTTCATTTCTTCTTTAAGTCTTGTCACCGCAGACTTTTAAATATAACCTGATAAAGCACTAGCACCACTTTGCAGGCTTACTCATCTGTTCAAAAAAATTTGCCGAATTCTCGAACCTGAAATAGTTTGACCTGAGATAGATGAGAAAAAGGAAATTGGGGGGGGGGGGCATCAGCAAAGGCCATTTGTTCAGTGGGTTGGTTTCCCTGACCACCTGTTAGATAAGAGACTCTTGTTGCTCAGCTGTTGTTTGAGAAGTATGGATGCTCTGTTTTGTTTTAGATCAGGTTTATGTAGTTGATGACCTTGGTACCTGATAAAAAGGAAATAACATATCAATATTAACATACTAAATCATAAATCCTGATTTTAGGAGAGGCAGAGGCAAAATTAACCAACAGGTTTTACGCCTGTCTTCATCATTTTTCAGGCTCCTTACTACAGTGTATACTTTAAATGGATATAATTTAGGATACTAACAACTATTGAAAACTCGGGACAGTAGATTTTGGAAGGTTTACCCTTCACCTCATCCCTAGTAGTTACATTAATGTAAATTAAATTGGTTTTAAAAGGTCAGTGTTACCATGGAGACTTTACTGACATTTGTGTTATTTATTTGTTTTCATTGACCGTAAGCCAGTATTTGGGTGCCTTAGCTGTCACAGTAAGAATTATGGCCACTGAGCCACTTTTGAATGTTGACATTTTTCAAAATAAATGAAAATATAAATGCTATTTTCTGAGTGTTTGTATTTACCCTGCTGTACCGAAAACGTACCCAACCGGGACCCCAAAACAGAGGTACTTGCTGAACCGTGAATTTTGTGCACCGTTATACCCCTAGTACACAGCATGGGTGTTGCTGGGAGTTTATGTGCTGTTCTTTTATAAATAAAGATCCAGTTACAGCTTTCCCACGGTCCTGGGCCTTTTCCTTATCTTGTTTGTTCTCTCACATTTGTATAAAATGAAATTCCAACCTCTAGTTTAGTGAAACTAACTAAGGTAGTAAATATGTGTAGAAATATGTGGAAAGAGCAATCGCAGCGTCGCTTCAGACAAAACATGTCTGAGTCAGCACAAGGAGCTGTAGGAAAAAAGTTAAAGGGTGTTTGTGCGCGGTAGCAGGTGCCTTCTCACCTGTCGCAGCAAAACATGACAGACATGCATACCATATGCCTGAGGCCTCAGTTGGCTACACATGCTGTCTAGTGTCAGTGAAAGTATTCCTCAGTGCATGGCATTTGTTGCAATGGGCTTGCCTGTAGAGTTTTCCGTATAGCTTCTGAGCTTAAGTCACTGAATGGTTCTGAAGTAAATCATGTTAGTTTTGGACCATCACAAATTACTTTAACTTTATCAGCATCTGTCCCATCACAGCATTTAAGATTGCCACATATCAAAGGTCTAGTCTAACGTGTTCCATAAAATAAACACCACATAGTAGCAGGTCCTTAACCCTGATGCTTTAATTCAAAGGGTGGGACTGGCCTGGGGTTTGTGTGTGTGTTTGTTTCATCTCCACTGTGCCTGCTAGGCATAATGTGGCATATTCTTCATATCCAAACATCACTGTGAGATGCTGATCTGGCAAACAAGCGGTGAGGCTTTCTCTCTTGGGGCGAAAATTCTGCCTTGACAACTGCTTAGCAGCTGAGCCTGCGGCCAGAGCACGTCAGCCCAGGGAAGGCAAGGCGCAAGCTTATACCAGGGTCAGGTAGGGGTTATACTGTGACAAGAGGGGAGGGGCTTAGGCTCCAGGAGCATCAGACTTCTGGTTTCATCAACGGCTGCAGCCTCAGTTGTCTACTTCTCTGTTTCTTTTCTCGGGCTCATGCCCATCTTTCGCTTTCTTGCTTCTTGAGTATTGTGAGTTAGCACAGGCAGACCACGAATGACCAAATTCATGTACATGTACACGCACACACATACTAGAGACATAAATTCCCATGACTGTCACTCTGTGTCACACTTTATAATTGCCTTTTGTGACCCACTATCTACTCTGACTGTGGTTAACCCTCAAACAGCCTAGGAATGACATGCTTTCTGCCTTTTTTTAATGTACTTGTTCGGGTGGTTATAACTGATAAGTTATAAACCTGTCTGAGTCTTATAATACAAGTCTTATACATGTAAGAGGATTAATGGGTTGTTTTACACAGTATTTGTGCTTATTCCCAAATAATGGAGGGAAACCATTTCACTGCACAGATTATTTGATTTTGTGAGAGGTTTAGAGGTTCAAGCTAAACCATTCTGATCCACTTGCAGTCTGACCTGAGCTGCCCTTCTCAGACAAATTTACTGGATTTACAACCTGAAATATACTCAAATTTGGAAGAAGATGAGGAAAATATTGTTTTTAAAAGCCCTGAACAGCCACTGACAGTCAGATGTAACATATCAAGGTGGAACAAAAGCTTTCACATTTTCAGGTGTTTTTTTCTGTGTGCTTTTTTGAAACCGCTTGGATTTGAAATGGATTCATCTTTTCATTCTTTCCGTTGAGTATTTTGCATTCCACCGCTTGCTAACCAAGTGACACAAATTCAGCATCCTTTTAAAGAGCAATATACGATCCTCAGTAACGCATAAAATACACCTTTTGAATGTTGTGACCATTATTTCTAAAAATAACCGTGTGATGTTCAGTATTCCACTACTTATAACTTCACAGTGAGAATCGGTGAACTTTAATGGCTCCAACCATTTAGTCAGCTGAATCTCCGGGCACTCTTAACAGGAAGTGTCTGATGGCCTTGTGGCTTGTGTCATCACACTCTGGCTATTTTCTTAGAACAAAATGTGATCTCACGGTATGGTATGCGGCATTAGCATAATCCCAGCTTTGACGGGTGTCAAATCTGTTTAATTTGTCAAATGTGTTAATGTTCCTTTTGGGTTTTGGTGATTGAAAAGCAAGTTAGCAAGATCAAGTTGATTTAATGGTGAGACTTCTGGAAAGGAACTACAGCATGCTCTGTGGTCTTGCTGGTTTCACTACCTCAAATGATGCCTGTTGTTACGGTGGACGTAATGAGCCTTTCCCAAACAAATGTAACCCACCTGTGTCAGAAATTATTCACACTGCTGAATGTTCTTGAGCAGCACACTGAAATCTTTCCAGCTAAGCACTGTTCTCTAATTGACCTGCACTCTGACCTCAATACAGACAAAGTTGTTCTTCTCATGTTAATAAACTCTTTGCTTAAAGTAATAGCTTTAAAGTATGTGATCTTCTTTCCACACCCTGTCCATATTCCACACCAACAACCAGCAGTAAATCACCAAGCTACACTATCTTATAAAATTTACATATTCAGTCAAATTGATGTACTTTATGGCAATTTTTGTCTGCTTCCTTCTAGATTTTGACATGAAGAAGGACATAGAAACATTGATAGCAGAGGAACGCGCTGAAATCATCTCGAAATATGACAAGGTGAGCAACACAACTTGCACTTGGGGTTTTGTAGCTTAAAAAAAATATAAGTGCCATGGTTCAGTTGGAGGAAACTACACAGCTGAGCATTTCCCTGCACTTAACGGCTATTCTTTGGTACAGATGTCAGCCACTGCCAAAAAATCAGGGGCAGGTAGTACCATAGTTCATGAAAGTCTTCATAAAGATGATGCAACCTAATAGGAAAATCCTAATCCTTTGGAACATGATATTTCCTTAAAGGACAGTATGTAACAAATCAAACGGGAGTTGATGGTCTGTCTTGTACCTGAGTGGTGCCTGCAATGTGTTACCAACAGGCAGTGAAAATGGGATTACTAGGAATGATCAATCAATGTGAAAGAGAAGACACAAACACAGGAAATGTGTAGTTTTAATGACTAATGGACCAAATAAGTAAAGCAGAGAAAAGTTCATTATCGATGTTACTTTTGGCTCTGCCTTTAAAAAAAAAACATGTGACCCATCTCCTGTTATGCTGACAGCAGTCCATTCATTTGTACACAAAACCACCATCTTAAGTCACTTTTAAACTGTTTACTTTGCATACAAGATTTTCTAATAGGGGTTGTGGTATGTGGGTGTTTCAGGGCAGGCAGGAGGGTGTCAGCATCAACCCGTGGGAGGATGCAGACTACAGCATCTATAAGGTCACTGACCGCTTCGGCTTCCTGCAGTAAGTTACCTGACTTAAAGCTCTGACGGTTTCTTTGAAGTGATTTGAATTCTCTGAGGACAGCTTGTATCTAGATTGTCTCTGTCCCGCTTAAACTCTTTGTCTTTCTCGCCTTTCTCACATTATGATGATGTCTTATACTAGTGCCTCTCTGTGACCCTATATCCAATACATGCTGTGTATTTCTGCTTTTCTGCTCCAGTGAGGAAGAGCTGCCTACGCCCAGTGCGCTTGAAGAGAAGGTATCAACTTTTAACTCATAGCAAGTCCAGTTTTTGACCCTGCATGTGATATATATAATGACGCCCTTTCACATACGCATTAGAGCACACATATGTCCTTATTTCCTCTCCTCAGCAAAAGCAGCAGGAGATAGAGCGAGTGGAGAAATGGCTGAAGATGGTGAAGAACTGGGACAAGTACAGGAACAGTGAAAAGGTGCGTAACTCACAAATGTGAAAAACCTACATGGTGTCTCAATTCAGCCCTCACTTCCTTTTTGTTCTACTGAACTAAGTGATGTATTATTTCCGTTTCTGTAAAAAATTTGTTTTCCATTCCCTTTTTAACGACAGCTTATTCCCTTATCCCTCCCTCCTCTCCGGTCTAGACAGCTAAAGCAAGTACATAAGTACATGTGATGAGTCCTTGTCATTCAAGAGCGTTAACAAGGCTCCGTCCCATAAAGCAGCATTTATACGCGACGTTCTGCCACTTTCCTCTGGTTATTGCGGTGAAGACTGTCTCGTTATGTTTAGAGAGTCCCTATTCATGTCCATTCATATGTCTCTGTTACGTGTGTTTCAGTTGGTGAAGCGTGTGTATAAAGGCATCCCTCTGCAGCTGAGAGGCCAGGCCTGGGCCTTGCTATTGGAAATAGAGAAAGTCAAACAAGATAACGTGGGAAAATACGAGGTATGAATCTCAAAAGTGACAGACCGCACTTCCTTTGAAATGTGGATACTGTGTGAAATTTTGACAGTCAGCTAGTTTTTATAACATATTAGTCCTTTTTCTATCCTCCAGAAAATGAAGCGGCAGGCTCGTAGCTACTCCACGGAGATCAAACAGATAGACTTAGATGTCAACAGAACATTCAGGAACCACATCATGTTCATGGACCGCTTCGGAGTCAAGTGAGTTTTTAGCTTCGCTCGGCAGAAAGCTGTGTGGAACAGCTTGTGTTTGTTATGTTTTTGCATGTATATGCGTGTCTATATTAGTCACCCAATGTGATAATTTACCTCATTCCTTCCTTTAAACTATGACATAATTGCCACTCAAAAGAGTCACAATAGAAATTTTGTACCTATCTAAGCAAACAAACTGCTGATGTGTCTCTGGATCATATGACTACTCCCATGACCTTTTAGCCTGTGAAATAAGTGACATGGTGTAGGTAGCTTTCATAACAAATGTCCTCAATCCCCTTTGTCACCTCACATGCTCAGGTTTGCGCTTGCTCTCTTAGAGGATGCGACCTCTGGCTTAATCTGTCTTAAGCCCCCGCCCCAATACACACACACACACACAAAACCAAAGCGGTGGTTTCCTCATCTCTGTGTTTTATTAGCCTTCCTGTCAGTGCACGAAGCCCCACAGGAAATAGCATTTGTACAGAAATGCACACCGACATCAAGTGTACATGTACTGAACATTGCCCATAGTGTTCTTCTGAGACAACACACCGATTATAGTGCCAATACATAAAAAGATTCAAATAAACACACATTAAATCTGTTTCAGAACACGCTTTTGAGCAAATTGTGAGTTTGAAAATCAGTCAGTCGCTTTTAACTCTCTGAGAGTGGGACTGAGTGCTCTCCATTTGATCTTTGTAATGTACTTCCCCTTTCAATTCAAGTCCAAACGGACCAAAAACACCGCTCCATCCTGCTTGGCTGCCCACTCCTTCCCTGCAAGTCAACAGCTGTTCCACTCACACCGACACACTGACAGTTATTTAAAGCTCCTTTCCTGTCACTGTCAGTAAGACGTGTATTTACTATAGAGGACCAGAGGGGAGACATCCTCTATCGTCTGCATTTTATTTGTTATTGCCCCTTCACCACTCACATACACACTTACACACAATAGCTGCCTTGTGTTCACTGTCTGTAACGGTTGAGACTCCAGATGTAATCTGCCACGCAGCACACAACCCTGCGATCACAGATACTGGATAGAAGCTTTGGAAGAAATGATGTGATGAGAATCTTTGATGTCCATGTAGCACAATATCTGCTCACATATACGTGAATGTGAAATCAAGTTAAACAAAAGCAACACTTTATATTGCACCTTATTGATACCTAGAAACACAAATGTCCTATTTTATTAAATGCCAAGTGTCACTGCAGCATTGAAGCATCTCTCACCTCTCATTAATACTTTGCTGCAAAGCTGCATAGCTCGGGCACAGAGCCTCTGTTTAAAGAGGAAGTATTTCCACACACTCAGAGTTATACAAACACCACCAGGATGTTGGGATTCAATCAGGGCTTGTCACCCTCCCCAGATATATTTGCAGGTGTTTTGAGTGTGCTTATTGATGAGTTAATTTAGGGAAGAGGCGGTTGAGAAATTGTTACTGACGTAGCTCTGGAGAATTTTTTATTTAATAAATTAATATAAACACACTATAGTCCGACACACGGTGTCTGCTTGCTCGATTGTTGCTATCACATCCTAGTTTTAACCAGTGGTTTCTCTGTTCCCTCTCTAGGCAGCAGGCACTGTTTCACGTACTGGCAGCTTACTCTGTCTACAACACGGTAAGTTTGTTTGTGTGTGTGTAGATGTGTATGTTATGTGGATGCGTGTGTGTTACATAATATGGAGGAGTCTTCTTGTGTACACGGACTGCACAGTAAAAGTAGTGTGTTCGTTTCCATACAGCAAAGAACAGGCCGAGCACTCTAAACCCATCTGTTCTCGTTCTCGTTTAGAGCCTTGGGTGAGATCTTTTATTTATGAGTGTGGCTCTGACTGAATGGTAAGCAGCGCAGTGTAACAGTCAGACCACCAGTGAACCCACATCCATGCTCAGAGCTCACATTGTTCAGACCAAGTTCCCCTTTGTCACTATGTAACATTTATTGTGCAAGAAAACTGTACAAATGAGCCCGGTGTTACAAAAATTACAAACTTTTGTCCACCTCAAGAACTCATTTCTCATGACAGACCAAGCCAGGCAGTGACATCCTTTTTATTTCAATCAACGACATTCATTTGGAGCAGTCTTTGCTTTATAATAATGTGTTTGGAATGCAGTTGTGGATGCCGAGTTCAGACATAACGGTGATTCGTTGCATCTACTTTAAAGTGCCTCTGTACTTTCAAATAGAGAATTCTCTGTGTGGTGTCAACACATATTTACTAAAATAAAGCAGCGTTTATCTCAACATGTGGATGTAGACTAATCTGTGTATATTAATTCTTGTTCAAGCACAGACTGCTGCCGCATGGTAGGGATAGAATTATCTAACCATCCAAAGACCATACAGTACTCTACATCTCCCAGCAGTCCAAGTCTGTTTTTCTGACGGGGCTCTGTAGTCGATTCCTGTGTGGTAGAGGTGTTAGAGCCAGAGGAAACGGGCATGTGCTGTTCCATTTTTCGTTTTTGCCCCTCTTCTCACACACTGCTCAGAAGAAACTGGGTCAGTAGGAGAGAGTGAGGGAAAAGAGGGAGTGTGTGTGTGTGTGTGTGGGGGGGTCTGTTTGTTCTTTTGCCTATGTGATTGTAAAGAGGAATGTGGAGAACGTGTAGTTTAACCTCAGTGTAACCCTAATTATCTTTAGTGTATTTCCTTGAAAGGATACTATGGAGTGTCCATTTGTAGCTGCGCAATATATCGGCCTTAATATGGACAAATACCAAGTGTGTGTCTGGTATTGTGTATCTCTGCTTGCCGGGGGCGGTGCATTTAGTGTAAATCATTGAATCATTGTGGAGTCAAATTGGCGGTAATTCAAGTTGAAGACCTGACATTACTCAGAACGTACAGTATGTTGGGCTACAGTAAATATTTGAACAACCTTTGGTAAAAAGCGCTTATAATATCATTGCTTCATGTACACACGGCCTGCAGCTCCTCATGTGCAACCACACACGTCCACAGTCTGCCTTCAGACCACATCAGACATTCAGGTGCTCTCCTCCCCTCATCTCTCGGCCCGTGTGTGTGTTTTATTAAATTAGGAATAATTCCTCTCATTTGCCCATTCTGTTGAACTGAACCTGTCTCTTCTCCTGCGTTCCCCCCAGGAGGTGAGCTACTGCCAGGGGATGAGTCAGATTGCTGCCATCTTGCTCATGTACCTGAATGAGGAAGATGCCTTCTGGGCTCTGTCCCAACTCCTCACCAACAGCAAGCATGCCATGCATGGTGAGAATGAGGACGAAGACAGACAGGGCGAAAAGGCAGAGCTGATTTAATGTTTAGACATATCAAACATCATAACTGTTCTTATTAAAAATGATGAAAGTGAACAGGAGACAATGCAGTAGCAATGTTATATGCAGATGTGTGTGAGTTGTGAAAAATGTAAGTCAGTCTGCGTGTTTACTTAGATTTGTGAATGTGATTCGTTCATTTATAAATATTATGTATTATGCCTCACCATTTATGGCCTGCTGATTTATTTTTTCACTGTCCTAGGGTTCTTCATCCCGGGATTTCCCAAGCTGCATCGTTTCCAGGCCCACCATGAGCTGATCCTCTCCAAAATGCTGCCAAAGCTGAAGAAACACCTTGTAAGTTCAAGTACATCTCTACGGCTGATGCTTTTTGTCCATGCAAGAGACATGTAGCGAACTGATTGCCTACACGGTCATGGACTGCAGTTGATGTGATCTCGTAATTTCTCTTTATTTGATTAATTCATGACGTAGAGGGCCACATGTTCAGAATGTTACTGTGAGTCCAAGAGCCAGGACTATTTGGAAAGTGAGATTTATGACTGAGAACAGATTATGAGGAGTAACTTCCCTTAGAAGAAGAAGGGGAAAGAAGAATCAGAGTCAGTTTTATTGCCAAGTAGTGTTTTACACATACGAGGAATTTGCTGTGGTGATAAGGTGCTACACGTAGACAAACAAGTGTGGAAATATATAAACTCAATGTTTTCACTCTGTTATTATGTTAGTATACACACAGGTATGAAATACACACACATGCGCATGCACAAACATGACCCACACGGAGAGATGTCATAGTGGGGGGGCTGCCAGTCAGTGTGGCTCCCCGAGCTGTTGGGGGTTCAGGAGCTTGCTCAAGGCCTCCTTTGGCAGTGCCCAGGAGGTGAACTGGCACCTCTCCAGCTACCAGTCTCCACAACTGCTGGATTTGAGCCGGCGACCCTCCGGTTCCCAGCCTAAGCCTTACAGACTGAGCTACTGCCGCCCCAAGGCTATTAGAGCTATTTCTCATTAATTCTTGCTCTACAGGACAAGGAGCAGATGACAACAGGGATTTACACCACCAAATGGTTTCTGCAGTGCTTCATTGACAGAGTGAGTATTTGGATTTCCATCTCTAGATCTCCGCTGTCTTCCCCAGATGTATTCTACATTTAAACTCATTAAACAGTATATCATAGTGCTTTCCATTGCTTTTGCTTTTGAACACAGAACCACATCTGGGGTTGTTTTATTATATTTTAATCAGACTGGCTCTCTACTGCTGTGTGTCTTACATAACAGACCCCTTTTACCCTCACCCTGCGTTTATGGGACATCTACGTATTGGAGGGAGAGAAGATGCTAAATGCCATGGCTTATACAACCTTCAAGTTGCACAAGAGTGAGTATGAGGCTGATTCCATTATCTTCCGTACCGTGCCGTGCCGTGCTAAATGAGTCAAACCAGCTTTGTGCCCAGATACAGCCCTGGCTGCTGTTCTCCTCTCGGTTGGCTGCTTCCTAACTGGGTGGCTTACATAATGCAAGTGGCCGGTTGCTGTGGAGAAGAATCGAAAGCTGACTTTTCATTGGACGCTTGCACAAGCATTGCCTCAGCACATTAGTTGAATGCTTGCAAAAGAACTCTTTTGACGGGCCACTTCTTTGCTTGGTATTTTAAAGTTAAGCCTGTGTCTTTTTTTTTTTTACGGTATGTCTGTCCATGGTTCACTGTATCACAGAGGTTACCTGACATGCAACCTCATAGATTTGCCTCTGTTTTGTGTCTGCCTTGTTTTTGTCCAATCAGAGCGCCTGCAGAAGCTTCAGTTAGAGGACCTGAGGGAGTTTCTCCAGGAGCAGCTGGCTGTTTCTTTCTTCCTGCCTGATGATGTGGTGGTTGAACAGTTACAGGCTGCTATGTCTGAGCTTCGCAGTAAAAAGCTAGACCAACCTCCTCCAGGTGCAGTTGTGTCTCTTTTTAATTCTCTTAATTTTTCAGCATTCAACTTTTTGTTTGGTACATCCTAAAGTATCTTTTTCTTCTGTTGATGTATTCCCCATCTTCCATGTCATTTTTTTAGCCAAGTCAGAGGAGCTGCCAAAGAAACCTCTGGGTCAAGAGAGACCAGTTCTCCTTCTGCCTGACACTCCTCTTGAGGTCAAAATAAATCTGCAGCCCCACAGCCAACCCAATACAGAGGCCCAGCAAAAAGACGGCATCACCCTACATCAGACCCCTTCTCCTTCTGAGCCCCAGGACTCGAGAACACCTCTTTTGCCTTCACCTGACCCAGTAGTAGTCCACACACAAAGAACACCTTCTCCTTTTAGGCCTTGTAGAGCACCTCCGTTGCCACCAAAAGCAGACAAACCCTGTGCCGAAGTTGGGTCGGACAGTGGTGCAGAGGTTAGCCAGACAGAAGATAGGGGGGAACAGGAGAGCCAGCCTGGAGACCAAGAGACCCAGGACGAGTTTGTAGATTGGCCTCCGCCCTATGAGCCCCCTTTGGATGCTTTTACCATGCAGACTGAGGAGGACATCATAGACCTTCCAAATCTGCCACCTCCGCCTCTATTTTACACTGAGCAGAATGACCAAAGGCCCCCGGACAGTGAATCACCCTGCCTTGGGACCAGGACCCAAAGTCGGTCTCCTTCACCCCGCTCAGCCTCACCACTTGTCACTCAAATGAAGCCATCTCCAAAACCATGCCTGGAACCGCCCGCGTCTCTTGACCTCACACAGAAAAAACCTCCTCCCTCAAAGCCCTTCTCCCCCCATGCCTTCACTGCACACTCCTCCTCTCCCAGACTTCCTCCTCCAAAGCCAACCAAGTTCCCAGTCTCTCTCTACGTTCCGGTGCCCGCGGAAGACAGACGACCTTCCAACACCTCCCAGTATGACAACCTTTCTGAGGCTGATGAAGACGACCGCTACCTGGAGAGGCTGCTGGGCCCCACGCCTGAGGAAATTCCCAGCATGCACGGCAATCCTCCACATACCATTGGCAGAGACTATGACCCTGCTCTCTACCCTCCACCTCCTGTGTTCATCCCTCCTTCGCCTTCTCCTATTCCTCCCTTGCTGTGTGCTCTCCCCAGTTTGCCTCAGGAGTCAGATTATGAAGGAGAGGACAGCTGGGTGGAGGACTCCATCATCCCCCCTCCGCCACCTAGTTTTGCTGACAGACTCAGTCCCTTCCAGTGTAGTGCTGCCAGCTGTTCAGACACACACAGAGCCACCTCGCCTGGTTACTCTAAGCCTTTCTCCAGGGGCCCCAGGGACCATTCTGCCTTCCCAGCACCACTGTTGTACACCGGGTCTCCCCCAGGCCACTCCAGGCCATCAGTACAGTCGGCAGCAGGGGTGCCCTTGGTCCGATCTAGCCCAGACTTTTGCAGTATGCCTCCAAGTGGACAGCAACTGCCCAAATCAGTGACCTTTTGAAGTTTCTAAGTAACATTCAAGTGTTACTGATTATCCCAATATGATTCAGACTCTCTGTTGAGACGTGATTACTTTTAAGACATTTATGAGCTGAAAGGCCAGTATCTATCCAGTGTGTCAAAGGTTGGTGTGTATGTGTGCACGTGCGTGTGTGAAAGGACTTTTTTTCATTGCTATGTACAGATTTCTGTGATACTTGCACCTTTTTTGTAAGGGCAGTTAACTTTTTTAAAGTGTCAAACTTGTATTTAAAACTGCTGCCTGTGCTACTGTTTGCTGCACAAAAAGTGAGTGTATTAACTCGCCTGCTCTTGTTAGTGCGTGAGATCAGTTTTGGTTTTTCATCTGATTAAAATTTAAAAAAACAAATGAGGTCATCTAATACTAGCTGCGTGTTTCACCATCACCTCATCTCTAGTAAGTTTCTGTTTGTTCCAACAAAGTGTCTTTACCTGTCCGCAGAGCACTGAGGGTAGTGACTCTAGAACAAAGGCTTTTGAGGCTGCAGAGTAAGGTTATCTTCACTGAAGCACCCAAAGCCTAAACGTTTAAAACAGCATTTATGGTAAACTGTGAGCAGGCTCACACATCTTAACAGTATGTCAAACTGCAATGAGTAACTGTTAATGTAACAGTTTTTTTTACTGTATCTTTAGGTCAATACTTGACTACAAAGGACCACTAAACCAGCAAACTCTTAAGAGAAGCTGAAGTTGTAACCACTAGCGACAGGAAAAAAAACGTGGTGCAATATGTCACTGGTGTAAATACTGAAGCTAGTATAATACATTTTTTCCCCAGATAGGTAGCAGTGGGTACTCAGCTGCTTTTTTTATGTTTGAAATTGGTTTGTTAGGATGCTGTCAATTTCAAAGAAAAGGTTTATATATATATTTATATATAGAGATCTGTTTGTCTAACACGTGATTTCACAGCAATAATGTACTGTATTGATGTGTGTGTATATATATAGATGCATGTATCAAAGCTAAATAAGGTGGCAGAATAGGACTTAACAGGGGGATTTAATGAATGCAACATATTGTCAGCACAGACTGGCTACAGTAAAAATCCATGTCAAAATATTTATGAAGAGTAGCTCCATCTAGTGGTAAGAAGGGTTACACATCAACAGGAATTGGCTTTAAGCACTAATGTCCAGTGATGAGAGGCTTTTGGGAAGACTAGTTCTGATCCTGATATAAATGCTATCTACAGTGTCTATTTATGAATGTGCACATTGTCTTTTCTACATTTAGACATGTCAAACAACCTAGTAAGCTCAATTTAAGAATACAAGGACAGACCCCGTGTTACACCACCCTGTAGTGTCATGGACTGGGAAGAGAAGCGAATGAATCCAAAAGCCATTGCAGTGATTCTGTTGTCAATTTATTTTAATTGCTCTGAGCAAATATTCTTGAGAAATGGAAGTTGAGCCATAATATACTGTAAAAGGACCTAATAGTCAAACATGTTTATATTGTTGGTTCATTCAGTTAAATATTACGTTGTATACTATGCCTAAACATGTTTGTGTTTTTTGCACTGACCTTTGTCATTACCAAGAGGTTTTGTCATTCTCTGTAAGTACTCTGTTGTTTTATAATTGAGTTCCAGGTAAATGCTAAACATTTTTCATTTGAGGGAGTGATGTGATTTTTTACAGTTTGTTCGTGAGCTTTGGTCTTACCCAAGAACTTGAATCTTAGCCTGGAGTATCTTTAGTCATGTGACCTGACCACCAATTGTACATCACTGCTCCTTTAATCGATCTGGTTGACATCAGAGACGCTGGGGCTCAGACCAAAGCTTATGTACATTTATGCAACTGCTTATGAGTTTTATAAAGAGATAAACCTTAGTTGTCTGTTGTCTTCTCTTTCCCACAGAGACAGTCCACACATGGTTTAAGATATTTATTGCACACCCACAAAATAGTGTAGTTGTACTGTACATATATTTTCTTCTCCAAAGTATTTTACACAAAATAACACAAGAGCATAGGCCTTTTAAATATGTAATTTGAGAGGTTTTTTCATATTGTCATTAAATATGTTAATGGCACAAAGACTGCAAATAAGGCCACTCAAATATACAAGCAGTACTTCTGAGTCAACACCAGCACCCTGTACTGCATATGATATACATACCTTATACTTTATCTCCCAACACCCTGATTTTTTCCAAAAGAATTAAGGATTGGGTTAGTACAAAAAAACAACAATTACATTATCACATACATCTTTGGTAAAAGTAGTCTATGCCAAATTCAACTTGAGCTGTTAGTGACAAAAATATAATAAAAGGTCAACTATAAGCATCACTATTCTTTACATGCTTTTGCATAGAATTTCATGGCTTTGAAAGTGCATTCAAGTATCTTTTTCCAAATTGCAAATTTTGTACGAGACAAAAATAGTAACTTCTCAGTGCTGGTAAATAGTTACAAAAATGCTTATTTAAGCCAGCAATTTTGTCCATAATTTTAACTGGTAGTAGCTAACAAACTGCATTTAACTTGAGCACAGATACAGTCTGTCTGCTGAGGGTGTGTTTACTGGGAAACTGCCCTGCCAGTGAGCAGCTGCTGCTCCCATACTGGTCAGTTATGCCAAAACAGGGAGTACAATCATATCCTTCATATCCTAAGCTGACTCATGAGGTCAAAGAGGGAGGCGACACTGCCCCTCAGCTTGGAGTCTTCCTCCTGTCCCAGTGACACTCCAGCCAAGCGTGTGGAACCATTTGATCCCATGATGCACGGCAGGCTGAGGAACACCTCTGCACCTATGCCGCCCCATCCCTAAAGCAAACAGAGAACAGAGATGAACCTGAAAAATCTTCTATAATCCAATGTCAATGAAAATGTACTTTAAAGAAACAGCTTGTCATCTATACAAAAGGCACAAGAGACATTTATTTGATATCATAATAGTAAGCTTAACTTTCATTTCCTTCACTGGTATCATTGTCATAACAACCTAGAACAAAAATTAAACGTAAATTTCCTATTGTTTGAGGCAATTTGATTTCACTGAAACCCCTATAACTTCATGTCAGTGTCAAGCACTGATGCTACTGACTTTACACACTTAGGGAAATAAATGAAGTGAAGCACAACACATGAAAATAGCAGTAAATATAATTCTGTTGTTTTGACACAAGACACTTGTGGGTTCTACCTGAGCCAGTGTGGAGACAGAGTGGGTCTTCATCTTATCTGTCAGCACACTGTTTGTGATGTCAGCAATGGAGAGACCCACAGACCACGACCGCTGGCCTCGATTCTTCATCATCTCAAACGCTCTAAAGCACAGAAAAGTGTGTGCTTTTAAACTTTATATTTGAATGCAGAAAACCCCATCATGAATTCTTCTAATCTCATCTTATTCTCTAAATTCCTAAAAGGTCCTTCAACAGCACCTTTGTCCACAATTTCAGATTTAGTTCATTAAACTACAAATAAATCCTTAACTCGAGGTCATACTTATTCATGCCAGTACCTGTCTAACAGTGGTTTGGAGCTGGAGCCTGCAGCGATCTCTGGCTGCTGGGAGCTCAGCCCAGTATTGCTCATCACAGCAACTGAGAGACAAAAACAATGACAAGCTCAATCATGTGAGTCCATTACAAAAAAATGGAAAGGTATGAGATGGTTATGCAAAACAAAAAAAATATTTCTAATTGATCTGCTCTTGCTCACCTTTATTGTCTGAAAGTTCTCCTATGACCCAGGCTGGTTTGTGAGTGTTCAGGTTAATATCCAGAATATGACTAAGTCGTCTGAGTCCAGGTTACACCCTGCTCCGATCACCCGTGTCGGAGGCAGGCCACTCTGCCTCCAGGCAACATGGGTCATGATGTCCACTGGAATTGGACAAGAAGCAGGACAGAGTTGACGATATATATATAAAAAAAAGGATAATGAGCAGAGGGGTCTATTCCTTAGAGGGCGTGTCTTTTTCTCCAACACCAACCTGGTTGTGAAGCGATGAGCATCACTGCATTGGGACTGAGACGCGCCAGATTTGGGATGATTCCTCTGTACAAGTCCACATTAGTCTGAACCACACTTACATACGACTGCTCGCTGCTCCACGCATTTGCAGTCACCACGACAACCCTGGAGCCCGCGGAGGCGGATATATCTGACAAAATGAGAGTCATCCAGAGTCAATTCCTGCAGACATCTAACAGAAAACTTTGTAGAATTATAGTCAAAGCTTAAAGCGCAGTTTCTACCCACAAACTCTGTGTTAACTCTGGATTCATTCCTGTTGGATATCGTTAATAAAATAAAACAATTTCTGTGATTCCTCTGACCGCTCAAAGTTCAAGGTCAGCTACAGAACAGCAGCTGGTTGGGATTCAGTGAATGTTTGCTGTGATAGCGGTGAGTCATCAAGGACAGCCTCTCTAACCACAATGCCAATCTGCTATGACTCTGCCAAGAGGCACATTATGGTGTGACAGTACAGAAAGTGACTTACCTCTTGATACGTCAACCTTAGGCAGACTAAATATCTCTAGATCTGTACTGCCGCCCTTGGTGGAACTCTCGGCGACGTCAATGAAAACAAGTTTATCCACTTCACACTGGATGAAAATTTGAAGAAAGAAATTATCTTCAGCTTTAGAATATAAGAATTTGACATTTTAATTCGAGCTGCTTAAGTATAAAATATGAACTAAAATTCCTGACATGTAAAAAGGTGATTACCTTTGATAAAATACTCATCACTGATGCCATTCCTAAATCTCCTCCCCCGATAACTGAGACTTTGTTGGTCGGTTTATCATGATGTACGATTCCACCTGAAATAGAAACGAGTTAAGATAACAATAGCAAGCAACTATTTGATTATTGATCAACAGCAAAGCTGCATATCAAGTGAAGCACCATCATTTATCTGGAGATTAGAGACAAAAGCCAGAAGCTCATTGGGGTCTTTATTTTCTCCTGTGGTCTTTGTAGAGAGTGGAGGATCCTCCTCAAACTTGGCAGACATCTCATTCAGAAGACTCACAACAGATGACTTGGGCTGTTACGGAGCAAAAAACCAAACACAGCAGCAAACCTGATGAGAACACCTCAGAACATCTTCCATGCAATTTTAAAAATCACCCAGATAGTATAAAGCCTTACATAATCCCAGGTGTGCAGCCCTGGCAGGTGGATCCGTCCCCGAGCATCTACATGCTTGCCCTCCCTGATGACCATGTTAGGGGTTGGTCTCAGGAGGCATATGGGAGGAGTGATGGGGAATGAGTCCATTAGCCATAGCTGAATGGGAAAGTTGTAGGAGCGGCCTTAAGATAAAGACGCTGCCATCAGTACATAATGTCCTTACATTGACATGATAAGCCCATTTCCTTGGACAGTTCTAGTGTCAGAAGTCAGCCTTACCTTCATACTGGACAGGGAGGTTGCCAATTAATTTCAGGAGATCTTTTTGGGTGCCGTCACTAAATGCTGAAATTGACAAGAAACAGATGTAAAGTCATGTATGTAGAGGTCTACAAAAGATGAATTAAGTGTTTTCCAAGGAAAAACCTACTGTATGTGCCTGTGAACGGTTTCATCCCAGGGTAGATGCGATACATTTTCTGCAGCTCCTCAACAGCAACATCATGGAATTTGTACTAATATCCAGGGATAAAAAGACACTGTGGTTGCTGAGATGAAGGCAGTATATGAACATCTCTATACTGGTGTATTATGCATAATTAACTATTATTTACTGTTGTCAGGACAATGAAGCTTGGGCCCACCCATTTTTAATCATTGTTGTAATCTCATTTTGACATTAATTCCTTATTTTTTGGCTGTATACACAAATGTTTTCAGTTTTTATTTAACATATAAAGAGCAATCAATCAAGGAGGCTCCATAATATTATCCTTCCAAATCCATGAGGGATTTAGTATATAATTCAGGATTTTATTGCCATCATGCTGCTTCCCATAACACATTAAAATGAGCTGCCCTGTACGCATGCTCAGATGCTACGGACTCAACAGCACTACTGGAACATGTTGTTTTTGTAGCTCATGGGAATTTTAATAGCAAATATCGAGGAAGACATACGAATTAACTGCATTTCAAAGCATATCTTTGGACAATTTTATAATAAATGTAACAGCACTGTGTGGTGACCAAAAGCCAAACAAATCGATTTTCATCGACACCATCGCTGGACTTGTTTTGGAAAACAAAGTTGACTATAAAGTCATATTTTCGTATTATCAACGTTAATTCAGGACATGTTAAGTAACAGAGCTGGTTCAGCCAGTTGGGGAAGGGTGACAGCAACATAGTAGCCTGCTATGCTAGCCGGCACTGGTAACACAGTTTAAATTAAGCTTTCAAAGCCTGTAAATAACTAACCTTGGAGAGGATCCGCTCTATTTTCTCTGAACTGAGGTCCATCTATTGATGTACAACTAAAAATGACGCGTCTTTCTGATTTCGACCCTCTTGACGGTTGTCTTCAACTTCAGCAGAAAAGACAACTTCCGCAAACTTTCAGCAGTAGCTAAGCATAACGACAGCTCCCTCCCATTTGGTTCGTCATGTACGGCAAGCCCAGAGGGAAGAAAAGGCTCTATAAAACGTCTCTAATACACCTGATGCTAACGGTAACGCTATTAGTTCCTGTTGCACAGTGTGTGGTTGAAAACAACAACAGTCATGACGTTTTTTTTTTTTTTTTTAAACTTAACTTTTCAAACCAAATTAAATATTCTTCCACACAACATATAGAAAGATCATATATCATTGCTTTCACTGACAACCAAAATCATTCCATTTTATACACGTAACATTCGTAGTAGAACCTAAATTCTTTATATATTACTAAGATGGGCATTCTCTGAAAAAACATTGATGTAAAAGTAGACATTTAAATAAAATCCTTTATGCAATAATTTCATTTCAAATCACTTAAGGAGAAACAACACATCAAGTGCTGATGTTTTCTGCATATTCAATTGACTTTACAATCAACATTTGGAAAAATATGCAACTTCTGCTCAAAAATAGCATGTTATCAACACTTGACATTGTATGTCATTGTTAGTCTAATAAAAAAAAAACAAACTCACACTCTTGAATATTTACAGTTCTGCTTGCAACTCAATTCCTTTGAGAAATTGGGACTGTTGACAGTGTAAACCCTGCACAAAGTGTGTGTGTGGGGGGGGGGAAATAAATATAACAGGAACGATGTGAGACCTTACATCCCCTAATGCCTGAATGATGTGTGCATATTTTGTCTGACTTTTTCAGGTTGTCTTTGACTAAAGTTCTTCTCTTTTCCTCTTGAGCCAATGTCAACTCCACTCGTTTTTGTCTGTTCATAAGGACAGAAGCAGACGGAAAGCAACAAAGGCCAATGTGGACAGTTACTGGTGTGAAGATAGCAGACCTACTGCTCCATATTTCAGGAGACAAAGGGTTTTTAAATTCATCTGAACAGCAAAGGGGCTTCAGTTCTTCTTTTTCCTCTTGGCGCTTAGCCTTTTCAGCTCCTCTTCCTCTCTTCTCTCCTCCTCCAGATCTTCCTGTACAGCCATTTTCAGGCTAAAGTAGCAAAGCAAAGGGATACAGAAATAACATTGTAAAAAGGGGTAAATACTGCAGTCGTTGGGACAAAAAGTACATATGCAGAGGTAGGGACTGTGAGGTGTAATTTTCATCTTACCTCCTGGCCTCCTCTTTCTGCAGATCTCTCCAGCTGCTCTCCATGAATTTAAGAGCATAGTCACTCTCATCCTTGTATCTGAGGAGAGAGAAGCATACACATTTTTTATACAGAATGTGGTTTACAATTTAGGGGAATGACCTGGAACCATGTTATATGGGGATAACACTTACTTGGATCGATCATAGCCGAAGATTTCCTTAATGTGCCTAGAAATCTGATCTTGGTCTTCACCTCCATCGTCAATAAAATCATCCATTTCCGGGTCATATTCATCTTCCTCATCCTCATATTTCCTCTTGTATGCAGAGGTGATAGGTGGTAACATTGTACCTGGATAATAAATACAGAAATAATTTTCAGAATAATCATCATTAACAATACAATTTGGACCTCGCAATGGTCACTGCTCGGGCACTAAATATGCATGGTACTGCGTTTGTCCTTTTCCTGGACATAAATATAAAAGTTAAAGTTAGGGAATGGTAAACTTGCAAGTATGTAACATTGAAATTATGTTTTGTTTATTGGTGTTAGAAAGACAGCTGCTCTCTGACCCAGGGATAACAACAAAGGATGCTGAGTGTTGCTGACACACTTCATTCAGTTTGGCAAACAAACCCTTTGCCCTGTAGTACTGATTGTGTTGTTTCAGGCTGTATGCAAAATTTCAGAAGCTATCTGTTATATCAAAACATGTATTGCATGCATTGTTTTACGATGTTTATTGTAATGTGTTGCTAAGGGGGTCTGGGTGTTATGAGCCGAAACAAAGTGCTTAATGTCTTTTTGCTGTGCATATAACACTATACTATGAAATCATATACTTCGCACATTGCTCCATGTATCAGCGGTGAATGTATATGCACATACTTAATTCTGAAAATTTCAATATCTTTTTTACCATGTTCTTGTTTTGTTGTTAAATTTGTATTATATCACGCCATATTAATGCAGTCATTGATTGTAAATGATTTACTTTCAGATACAATACAGTGAACTATGCAGAGCATACAGTAAAGATATTATGTGATAGGGCTGTGCGATATGACAATATACATGTGATGATAGGAAAAACATCTAGTGGTCCATATTATGGTCTATCGTTTTTTCACTGTGTCACAAATCACACTAAATGGCAATATTTTCCGTCATTTGGACGATGACTTGTGTTCTTTGAAGAAGCAGGAAATTTCCATGAATGCAACACAAACAAACATGGAGGAGCATGAATGTAGGGAATAGGCCATTCCATAAAAACTTTTTTGAATTCATTGAATTATCTACATATGAAGTGACCTTATTAGCATGAGATTTTGTTCATTGTTCTACCCCTACTGTATTGAAGTGTGCTGTATAACTTCAGGTTACTACTACTGGAACATGTCCGCCAGGTCAACAATTAACAGTTCTTTGGCAATATCATAACATTATCCTCCCTCTGGTTCTTACCTGGTGGTCTGTTCATCCCTGGCCTGGGAGGCATCCCTGGCCTGGGAGGCATCCCTGGCCTGGGAGGCATGCCTGGCCTGGGAGGCATGCCTGGCCTGGGAGGCATGCCTGGCCTGGGAGGCATGCCTGGCCTGGGAGGCATGCCTGGCCTGGGAGGGCCTCCTGATCTGGATCCACCAACATTCTTGGAAGAGATGGTCTCTGACACCACAGTGCACTTGGGTCTTCCAGGTCCTGATCCAGTGCTGCCAGTTGGTCGTCCGGGTACTGGTCCTTCACTACCAGGCCGACCTGGTCCAATCCCTGGAGGTCGGGATCCACGACCTACAGGGTGACCCTGTAGGCCACTCCCACCAGGCCTAGCCTGTGGGACGCCCCCAGATTTTGCCTGAAGTGTGCCTCCAGGCCTTGCCTGAGGCTGGCTCCCTGTCTTAGGAGGTCCGCCTGGTGAGGGTCTCATCACTGAATTACCACTGGATTTTACTGCAGAATTAATTCCAGTCCGTAGGGATTCTGCCTTTCCAGATTTCTGGCCTCCGACTGTTGAGCCCTGCTTTAATGAGCTACCCTGACCAGGCCTCATCTGTTGGGAGCTACCAAGTTGAGATTTATGGCCTATTACAGCTGTACCAGGAGACCTGGTCCCAGGAATACATGAAGCTCTTCCCTGAAGTAAGGATGAGCTTTCTCTTTTGAAGCTAAGGTCACTTGAGGTGCTGGGTTTGTGGTTAGATGAGGGCTTGGGGACCCCTTGTTTGGCTGAAACCTGAGAAGATGTGGCTTTTGAGAGAACTTTACTGTTTATGGCACCAGATGAACTAGACAAGCTCGTCTTGGATCTGTCTCTGTCACTTTGAGACATTTTAGGTCTCTCTCTTTCTCTGTCACTAACAGTATGCTTAGAAGAAGAGTGGCCTCTATCACTGGTCAGTATTTGGTGCGGTTTCTTCCCTGACGCACTTGGCTTGCAGTTCTTCTGCTCCTTCTCTAAAGCAGCTTTTCTTATTGAACTAGAGCTAGACTGAGACTTGCTGTCTCTTTCTCTCTCTGACTTTGAGTCTCGGTCTTTCTCCTGTCTCTTAGCTTTGCGCTCCATCTCCAGTTCCCTTATCTCGTCAGCTGTGCGGAGCCTTTCCTCCTTTTTGACTGCCTTGGGTTTTAGGTCAACTGGCTCAAACTGCTTCTTCTCTGCCAATTTAAGTAAATCTGCAAAGTTCATGGGAGGTGGAGCAGGCTTGGGTGGCCCACTGTTTTTTTTGGCTGAGGGCTTGCTGCTACTATTCCCACTAACACCTGTGGTCTTTCCTGGTCTCAGCGGCTCTGGCTCCTGATCTGGCTCTGAATCTGTCTGTTCGTACTCATAATTATCCTCATCATCCTCTGGGTCAGTAGAGTTATTCCTAAATCTTTCTTCATTCATTGATTTTTCTTCCTGCATTTCTAGTTTTGATCTCCTCTTCTTAGGAACCTCTACCACTGGAATGCCATTGTAGCCCCTGAAATTGTCTTTAGTTCTAGAAGCCATGGCTCGAGCTTTACGGTCCGACTTCAACTCAATCCTCTTAGCTAAAAGTTCCTCCTTCTCTTTCTTCATTTGAATTTCTGGGGGAAAACATAAATATTAAAATGATCAATGAAGAATGCCTTACATACAGTTTGTACACGATTATCAAATCCCAGTAATCTACTTAACAATAATACTTAGTAATAACTTCATTTTGTCATTACCTTTCTTTTTGGTCTCAACGTGTTGCTTCTTCAGAAGTGCCTGCACAGCAGCAGGATTTACCCCTTTCGACCTTGGGTCCTTTTTGGGAGGTGCAACTTGTAAACTGTATCTCTTCTGCTCAGAGGAACAAATACATGAAAAATCACAGCTTACTGAATGTGGAGCAGTTACAAAGCTGTCTTTACAATTTGCAGTGCTCAAATGTCTCAATCATGGGGAGATCATCATTTATCAGACATGTTGGTCTAAACACCATCATTGATTGGTAATCTAAAAACGTGACAGGCACACAGGTTTGCCTAGCATGCGGGCTCACAAGGGTGGACGTTAGCAGGCAGCCACATTGTCATGTCCTGAGAGATGAGCTGGCATTGCTCAACAAGGTTGGCCACAAATCCCCATTATACTGTGTGGCCTTAGTAAATTGATTGCAAGTGACAGTCCATTTAACTTACCTGTACATGGCTGGGCCCCTGGTTTTGCGAGGCGAGGTCCAATATGTTATCAAAATCCATCATTTTGGCAGCAGGTGATGCAAGCTGGCAG